GTGTTGTGTATATGTGGTACTGTATGTGTTGTGTACGTGTGGTACTGTACGTGTTGTGGAACTGTGTTGTGAACATGTGAAACTGTGTTGTGTACATGTGGAATTGTGTTGTGTACATGTGGAATTGTGTTGTGAACATGTGAAACTGTTGTGTACATGTGGAACTGTGTTGTGAACATGTGGAGCTGTGTTGTGAACACGTGAAACTGTTGTGTACATGTGGAACTGTGTTGTGAACATGTGATACTGTGTTGTGTACATGTACTGTGTTGTGTACATGTGAAACTGTGTTGAGTACATGTGATACTGTGTTGTGTACATGTGAAACTGTGTTGAGTACATGTGATACTGTACGTGTTTAGTACATGTACTTTGTTGGTCAAAACAAAATGAACTCAAAGATTTTGGGTTATAAGTTTCTACAGGAGATCTTTATTTTTTGGATTTTGTGAATTGTACTTAATATGTATACATTTGCTTTGGGATGGTTTAGTGGAAACATGATTACATTGAGGTATTTTTATTCCCTGTAGTTTGTCTCTAAATTTTAACTAGTTCCAATGAATTTGTATGTGTGTATTTTTTTGAATTGTTTGAGCATGTGAAACTGCTATCCCAAATTATGTTTTTGTACAAATGCAAATCATGTTATGATGCAGATCTTGAAAACCTGACAGGTTTCACTAGTAACTAAAGGATAGAATATTCATAACTGCTGTATTTGAGCGAGTCCTTGACCTTTGAACCAAGATTGTATAATACAAGCCTTAGCCAATCCAGAGAAAGAAAGGATGAAACATGAAGATACAAACTTGTCACCATGGTTACAAAGTAAGTTGCTCTGGAGGTGTCATCAACTGATTCAAATTCAGAATTAAAACCCCAGTATTTCTATGAGAGTAAAATTGCTTGATTTTGAAACTCAAGTTAACTGTTAATTTGCATAACAGATTTTCAAAGGCCATGATTTTGTCTTCACTCCTGTATGAGATTATCTGCTGTTAACAGCATTGTCTATACTTGACAGGTCTTGCAAATTTTTGTGGTGCTGTATTCAGAAAATATAATATAGAGTTATCGGGTTTGTTGCAGTATGTTGCCAATCAACTGAAAGCTGGTAAAAGGTATGTGATTATAGAGTGTATGATATACATATGGATGGGCTCTGTATTGGAAGGTCCGGTGTTTAGCACTGTACCTAGATATTGGAAGGTCCGGTGTTTAGCACTGTACCTAGATATTGGAAGGTCCCGTGTTTAGCACTGTACCTAGATATTGGAGGGTCCGGTGTTTAGCACTGTACCTAGATATTGGAGGGTCCAGTGTTTAGCACTGTACCTAGATATTGGAAGGTCCGGTGTTTAGCACTGTACCTAGATATTGGAAGGTCCGGTGTTTAGCACTGTACCTAGACATTGGAGGGTCCAGTGTTTAGCACTGTACCTAGATATTGGAAGGTCCAGTGTTTAGCACTGTACCTAGATATTGGAAGGTCCAGTGTTTAGCACTGTACCTAGATTTTGGAAGGTCCAGTGTTTAGCACTGTACCTAGATATTGGAAGGTCCGTTGTTTAGCACTGTACCTAGATATTGGAAGGTCCGTTGTTTAGCACTGTACCTAGATATTGGAAGGTCTGTTGTTTAGCACTGTACCTAGATATTGGAAGGTCCAGTGTTTAGCACTGTACCTAGATATTGGAAGGTCCGGTGTTTAGCACTGTACCTAGATATTGGAAAGGTC